GAAGGTTGTGCTTTAAGACCGATAACATAGAAAAGCACTTAGTTGTAGCTATAAATGAGAAAATATTACATAGTAACAATGCCTAAGTTAACTGTTATTACTATTTTTTTAAATAATTATTACTAGTATTTCATTGTAGAATTTTATGTGTTATATAATAGAATGCGCTAATATAAATTGTTTATTATACGCAGTAAATATATTTCTTTAATTTACATTTATGTGTAGGCAGGCTGCCTATATCACAATATGCCTGCCTTTTTTTTTAAATCCTTGCCTATATAGGCGCCTTTTTCTTCAAATTGTCTTGCCTTTAAATCCGAGCTTTAGTGATCACAGTCTACAGATATACGCCGTTGCTTAAACAATATGCGAAGAGCTAACCAGCCTATTCCTGTAGGGAGGATATAACAATTTCTTAACGAAGAAGAGGATAGAGAACTACCCCACATTAGGAGCTACAGGAACGTACCGAACACAAAATTAACGAATATGAAATCGCCTTTACTGCTGGCATAGGATGAACTGATAATTTGTCAATTGTTCAGCAATTTACAGAAAAACGAACAGCAAGAGATGAGGAAACGCATATGACGTTAATCGATGTAGAAAAGGCATTCGATTCGGTGCCCAGCAAACAAATGTGGCTAGTTCAGGAAACATTACATATAAACGATCGGGTCATCAACATAATAAAAATATGTATGCAGATAACAAAGCATATATAAACCAAGGAGCAAATTTGTCTATGTCCGTTTGTCCAACCAAAGAACTGATGCAAGGATGCAGCCTATCTCCCCTACTTTTTGATACAGGTACACCTTGGGCCAGTCCTTAAAGATGCGTAGAACCTGTGGGATAAAAATACCCATTATCCGTTGATGACTTCGGTGTACTTACACTAAGTTTCGCAGATGACCGAGCAGAATTTGCCCAGGATTTCTATGATATCGAATTTATGCTTCAGAGGGTATACCAACAGTGTAACAACTGGGGGTTAAAAGTCGACACCTCCAAAATATATGGTAGCAAATTCCGGTGCTCAGTTTCCTAAGGAAAAAAAGAAATAAAAAATCATATTGAACAGGGTGATCAAGTTATTAGTTGCTTAAATTCAGGTTTTTGGGAGAGAAACATTTCAAGAGAGGTGAGCATATAGAACAAACATTGGAGGAGTCTGTTCTCTCTTACGTGTTACTCGTTAAGTGCTGAAGAGATGCACAAGTAACAGTTCTGGAAAGCATAGAAAAATAATGCTTGAGATGGTTTGGACACGTGATGAGGATTGATGAACAAATACTCGTATGGCCCCTAAAAATGCTTCAATGGAACCCACCAGCATGGAGTAAGAGAGGAATTCCCAAAAGATGAAAGAACAGATGAAATGAGGGCAGGAGAGAATAGAGCCCGATTGATATTCGGAACGGGAAGACGGCTAGGTACTAGCGGTGTAATACCCGATTTGAAAATTTCAGTATATTCCAATGTCGTGGGTTATTTACTGGCAATAGCCCTGAGGGCGATTGCTCCATCAATCAAATTCCCTGGTCCTAATCTGAATTTATTTATTATACACACTTCAAAATATTAAGATTTTTATCCTATCTATTACATAAAATGAAAATATTGTAATAACCCCGGATTAATACTTTACCCGTTATAACATAACATACTTTTTATGGCTTTTTTTAACTCAAGGTATTGTGCATCTGTTAGCGTTTTGCATGCAACTGATATCAATCTGTTTTTTTCTTCCTTTTTAGGAACATTGACCAAATAAAATAACAAGTCGATTTCCAAAAAATATACGTATCCTATGATGCCTCGCACTTATGCGCAATTTACACGCAATTTGGTGGAAAATAGGACTGAAAACTTTAATGGAATTCAAAAGTGATATTACCTAACTCAGACTCCTCAACCTGAATGAAACAGATTAAAAAGGAACAACTTAAAATGAAGTGTCTCAATTGCCATACAACAATATCGCATTGAGGTATTAAAATATTCAAAATTGACATTGAATGATGTGTTAAATTTTGATGATTATTTCGTAAAGTAGATACTTGAAAACAATATATCTACATATATGGCCGAGGACGAGATGTTGGGAATTAGTTAATTTTTTTAGTACGGCGATATGTACATTCTTCTACTACTAGCAGGAGCATTCGTCGTACCTTTAAGGGCGGAAGAAAGTAACAGTGATCAGCTTAAAGAACTTCTTGGATTAATTCAAAATGCTGGGCCAGAACAGAATATTCTGGAAAATATCAATCTACCTGAGAATGTTTTCCTAAATATTGTAAGTGAGCGTTTGACAGAAAAAAACTGATTTTTATTTTAGCCTTTGCTTTTGTAGTCGCAATATTTAGAAAAATATGGATACCCTTTAGAGACTCATCAAGTGGAAACTGAGGATGGATTTACGTTAATTTTGCATAGAATTCCTGCCAGCAAAAGTATATCCAAAAATAATCCTGCAGTGTTATTCGCGCCTCCATTAATGTCTTCATCCATCGATTGGGTCAACCATGGATCTAATTATTCATTAGGCCTACTGCTGTCTGATTTAGGTATGTATTTTAAGTTTTATTATTGCTGATTTCGGTTCAATGGTCGAAGTATTTGTATTGATTTTAAAACAACTTCAAATCTTGTTAGCAAGTTAAATGTGTTTTGTGAATTGGTAAAATTGAGTGCTTTATCAATGGCTTTAGAAAGCAACATAGTGATTGAACAGCAGAAAAATGTGGCTTCATATTGGGTACTTTTTGAAATTGTTCTGAAATTTGATTAGTACTGACTTTTGCGTTTTGCATTAGCAAACGCAAACATGAAAAAAAAAAATTTTTAACGTTTTTTTCTATTTTCCCTAAGATTGAAAACATTTTAATTTTACATGCAAAATATAGTCTGTACGTTGCAGTTGGATTTAATCTTGTAAATCTAAATTCTTATGCGGCATTTGATGATTAAAAAGGCAAAATACCAAACTATTTGCAACGTCTCCCGCGTCGCAAAGTCTCCCACGAAAGTACGCAATTATAGACCATAATAAAACTTGATAAGAACATCAGATTCTTTGAATGATATTAGAAGAAGAAAACCTAGAATAGAAACACGAAACAAATTTATATTTAATATTTTAGAAGGTAACGCATCATAAAATGGACGTACTTTAAATTAATAATGATAATTATTAATCCAATAATTTTTTTTATTAAATTTTATTTAAGAATGCATTTTATATAAAACATTTTTTTGCGACTTTACCTACCAATATTTTTAGAAACTTTAGAGAGCTTTTGCATTTAAGTTTCACTCGACATTTTTTAAGAAAATCTAACTATGCACTGTTTTTCGGAATAGAGGCGAAACAAAAAAATAGTTTAATTACTCGAAAAGTTTATTTGTACGATTAGTCAAAAACAAAATTAAAAGCGTTTAAAATAATAAAATTATTCCTTTAAAATGTTATAAGGTACTAATTTTTGTATCAAATTACTTTAAACACCATGTGACTTGCTGGATGAGCTGAGATGGAGCTAAGTCAACCTTCAGTACTTCGGTTCTTGGTGTATTTAAAACCTTTATCAAAGTGTTTTCTCTTTTCTTCTATTCTTTTAGAGATCCCTTTAAAAACAATTGTTTGCTATTATAACCTTATTGCATTATATTTGTTTTACTTAAAGTAATCAATACATTTATTTTCCATTAAAGCGTAAAAAATGTTTCTTTAGATTACGACATATGGTTACTCAATCCAAGAGGCACCCGATACTCAATGACCCACAATACGTTGAACAGTACCCAAAAAAAGTTCTGGAGCTACAGTTTCCATGAAAAGGGTTATTATGATACGGCTGTCAGTATCGATTATGTACTGAATTTAACTGGTCAGCAGAAAGTTACTGTAGTTGGATATTCGGAGGGTACATCTGCCTTACTAGCCCTGGCTGCCGCTAGACCCGAATACAATGAAAAAATCAATCTTATAGTCTTGCTAAGTCCTATTGGTTATATGGGTGGAGTTACTAGTCCTATTGCCCTTTTCCAAGTTAAATACATGACGGAAATTAAGGTATGTATTTTTGTAAGCAGATAATTATTTAAGAGTAAAAAATGGCTTTAGGGCAAGGCATCAGTGCTGTGTAGTAGACTAAGTTTATAACATTGTCATCAAAAATTGTCTGAATGCAGTTTGAATCTCAATATTATCTCCATGCATATGAATAACTTCTCATCATCTTAATTTTACTGTTTTGTAATTTTCCTTTTTATTTCGCTTTTAGTACTAACTAGGGGATGATTCTCTGCACTGCTTCTATTTGATTTCTCATTTTCCATACGTACCTTCCTTTTCCACCAATTTTTATAACTTTTTTATAAGATGTAGACGGTAGGGTAATTTAATTGCTATTCGGTAAAATATTGCTAGATAATTTTGTCCAACAAGACATGCAATAACCCAAATTATACTAAGAACAAAAACTAAAATTTAATAGACTAATAATAATAAAGAATAATAAACTAGGGGATTACAAGTTATGTCGATTTTAAATGCAATTTTTCTTAAATGCCAAACTTTTCAATAGAAAAATTGTCACCCGTCATTTGGCAACAAAAAACAGATACATTTTGTGTAACGAATTAGAACTTTATCTCCAAGTACATTATTGAACCGACTAGACGTTCAGACATATTTTTTGCACAAAGCACTTTAAATGCCTAATCTAAATTGCGTTAACGCAATAACCACTTGACATGAATTGTTGTTGTATAGTCAACCACTTATATATCGGGAAAAGATAATTTAATAAGGTGTTTTTAGGCTTTATTGGAAGCAGTTAATTTCCATGCTATACCTTATGCAAAATGGGTATCTGAATTGCTTGTGGCTATATGTAGTATTGATGGTTCGGGAGAAACGTGTGCGGCTGCTTTGGGTCCTCTAGTAGGATACGATACAGAAGAGGTGGATTTGGTAAGTTAATAGTGATATTCTTTTAATATGTAAACATGGTAACTTTTAATGATCGCAATTTGAATTTATAAAACTTTTATTAAAAATAATTTGCTTAGGAAATATATGATATAGAAATTGAATAGAATCGGTTATTTTTTGAACCAGCTAAATTAGTTTTAGTTACAATTGAACTATTTACATTAAATCGATGGCAAATAATCTGTGAGTCTACTAGAGCTAAAAATTCCTGCAAGGAAGAAAACTAATTTTCCGTAAAAAGACATTCATTTTTCTTATGACACACGTTATTACAACTGAAGCCAGTTACCAAATCTCTATATCATGATATGAAAACGAACTCTGTATCTCAAATGATTCTTGAGCAACGTCAAAAAAGGTGGCGTCATGTTTATGTCGATTTAGTAATTAAGAAAACACAGGCAAAGCTAGAACACTTGACTTTTTTTTAACGAAAAGCATAAAATTGCAACCCATATTTGCATATCTGAAACGGTTCTTTGAAGACTTTGTCTTCAAATCGTCATCAGTCTCAGATGAGCTTGATGTAAAAATACAAAGACGCCCAAAATATTCCCAAAATTAAAAAAAAAAATTCTTGTGAAGAAATCAATGCTTTAATCGCAACCAAATCCACACTATCACTAGGGTGATGCTTCTTGTATTGAACACTGGAACCCAAATTTCCATATCTGAAGCGGTTCTTTAGCGAAAATATTCACAAAGTTTAAAAATTAACTACCAAAGAACCAATAGCTCAATCGATACCAAATTCACCCTACTAGTCAGTTGATGAGTATGGGACTAGTTCTACATGTACATGGCAACGAGGGACAACGTAATGCTAATCTTACCGAAAGCTGCAAAGTTTCACATGGAAAAAAAGAAGAAAATGTGTTGAGTACAGTAGGAAATCTGTCCAAAGCCAAACTTATTTAAAATCAGCAAAGCAAAGAGAGAGAAATCTAAAGAATCTATAAAGCTTCAGTTGCTTGTCGGAAAAATAAACTCAGTTCGAGCTATAAGATTTATAGATTAGAGATCATTCTTACCAGATTTTTGCGAGCTGGCGCCCCATCCTCCATTTTGTACCCAGTAATCCACGAGTTCACTATACTTCACATCTAAGAATGCGATTATCGACCGATTTCGGACACTTTTTCGAGAAAAACGACACCGAACAACATAATAAGCATGATTATTTATTCAATAATTTAATTGTTCGCCCTTTCAATGATTCATGCTTTACTTGGCAGTTCGATTTTAGTTTGTTTATGGATGGCACTTTTGTAGAAAGTTGCAGTTCGCACATTCGGCCACTTAACGAAAGTCAACAACAATTAAACGAAAGACTCTGTAAGCTCTGTATCTTTCACTAAATTAATTTTAAATTTAGTGGCATTTTTAATGGTCTGAATTTCATTCGGCTGCAGTGACTAATTTACAACGCTAAAGTCAAAATAAATAACTGAATTAATTTTGTTTTTCTAAAAATAATGACTAAACAATGGCAAAAAGTGAAACTGTTGCTTCATTTTCGAGTGATGATAGAAACCAACGAAATATCAACTAATTAAAAATGCCCTTTAACAGTTCTGATTTCAAGAATTATTTCGCCACAAGCGCAATTCGAGGTGCGAACGGTGCGATGCAAAATATTATCGCATTTATGACGTAAATCAGAAGCAAAAAAGTACTTAGGTTGTTTGAATAATAACCGATGCAATTGGTAAATTATCAATGTAAAAAGTCAAACGCGTTTTTCCTCAATATTAATCTTGGATTTTATTTGGCATAAATTGTTGATACATTTTTTTATCATATAGCCATTTAAAAAAAAAATAGATCTTTGTATTTTCCGAATTAAATTTCGGTAATTTGTTTTTGAAGCGTTTCTAAAATATAGTTTACAAATAAATCTAGTTATAATTTTTACTATCTAGTGCAATCAGCGTTAAACATTTCCGTATTTATTGGAAATTTCCCTATATACAAAATGATTCAAGAGCAAATATATACGTTAATTATTATTCAGATAAACTAAAATATTATAGAATAAAGAACAGGAGAGCAGGTATGCAAATAAATTAATTTTAAAAGAATTAGTGTCAAATTTATTTATTTGAGTTAAAAAAATATTAAAAGTGACCATTTATTCGATGACCTGTCTTAACACGTTTTTTCTATTTCCAAAATAGTGAAATTATTTTAGTACTATCCGAAATAACATTCAATTTTCTCTATTATTATGTATTTCCTCAAAAAAGGTTTAAATAAAGTTGTTTCTCGTTACTGCGAATTTCTATATTTAACTTAATACTATTATTTAAAATAGAATTAATTCGAATTTAAAAATTATCCAAATACGAAATACACTAAAATAAAATGTACCAAGCAAATGTAATTAAATCACTTTTTGCCATAAATTATTGTTTTGTAAGTGGTCACCAACAGACATTTATTGAAAATTTATTCGTATAAACAATAAAATTTTCTAATACATTTTCATTGCTTGATGTTTCAGGACTACTTGCTTATTTTCATTTCTGACAAGCCTAGTGGATTAGCACTTCAAGAATTATACCATTATGGGCAGGAAATTCTTTCAGGTGAATGGAAATAGATCTATTTTCTGTGGAAAAATATAATTGGCTTATATCTTATAAATGTGAATAATAATTTAATTATGCTATTTAAAATTTTTATTTTAGTTCATTGATACTTATAATTTAGTATTTCGTTAATAGAATTTTGTATAACGGATTTATATTCTGCAGATTCATTTCAACAGTACGATTATGGGGTAGTGGAAAATCTGCTCCATTATGGAACACCTGAACCTCCCACATATAACGTTTCGCAAATTACTGCTCCAGTGGCTGCATACTATGCGAAAAATGATTTCCTCGCTTCTATAGAAGTAAGTAATTTAAAGATTATAATGATAGTAAAATTACTTCTTTGCGCTTGTTAGTTTTCATTATAATTATTCCTTACTTTAGCCGTTTTAACCCTGTTATCTTGTTTTTTTCATGGGATCCATTTAATGACTACATCTGTCTCGAGTAAAAGGAATTATAATAAATCAATTTATCATGAACCATTAATGAAAAAAGTGAAGTTAATCGAAATTCAAGTGTAATGAGTTTTCGTAACTTCATTTGTCATTTGCGTTCCTGATTTTTGAATTGCAGATTATGATTTTTTATGGGGTTTTTAAATTTGAAGTTGTCAGTATTTTAAATTATTCTTTCCGAAATTTTCAGTTTTTAGGAATTTTTAGCTAATCTGCAACTATTCACAATTCAGTGTTACGACAACGTACAAACTAGATTAATGTTAATTATTGAAATTAATTTTCAGTGCTTAATATGGCAACTTTATATTTGGTTTATGAACAAAAATTGTTTATTATTTGTTTTTGTAGTTCTTTTTATTTCATTTTCAAAACAATGCAGCTTTTGAAGTTGAGGTAGAGTTTACACCACAATCTACGAGCCGACAATTTGTATTTAAGTTCGATTTATGTACGTTTTTATATACAATTTTGAGCTCAAAATATAATAGCATTACTATTGGCATTAACTGCGGTTCGATTAATTGCCGTGTTATAACTCACGACAATACGAACTAATAGTCAGTTAAATATACTAAATAGTATTTAATACAATATCCCAGTCCATATTTTATAAAAATATAGTTGTTCGATAAGAAAATGCAAGGATAGAAATTAATAAAAACATTTTCTAAAGTATTTTACGTATTTAATAAAAAAAAACTTATCTATTAACTGTTTAATAATGTACATTTTTTCCTTATAGAAAGCTTTATAGAAGCTTTATAGAAAGTCAGACATTATTATGTTATTAAACTTGGCAAACAGACATCTATGAATCGATCGAATATCTAGGAGATTAAGTGTATCTGATATGAACCCATTTTTCATGTTTAAACCAAATCACTTTGAGCTATTCACACTTTTTTTGTAGAAAACATATTTTACTTCTCAACTTATGAGGTGTTGCTTAATTGGCTTGAACGTAAATCACTATTTATTGGTTGAAATAATATTTCTGTTATAATTTGCGGATTGATTTATGAAGTATTTTAAACTACTTTTTATTGTTTCAGGATGTTGAGAAATTATTAGGAGAACTTCCGAATATAGCGGATGAGTATTTGGTGGAAAGTGAGAAATTCAGCCATCTCGATTTCTTCCTGGGAAAACATACTAGAAACGTGTTGTATGAAAGAGTGTTATCTGTAATTCAGAAATATAATCCTGTTTAATAAAAATATTTTACTATTATAATATATTTGTTATGAATTATTTGGTTTTCTGATTTTCAATGAGACATTTTTCTTGGTCTTAGCCTATTCGGAGAAATCGATAGGGTTCCAAATAAATTGGCAATAACATTATGATTTAAAAAGAGGCAATAAAGTATTGTGCAACCCGCCCTTAACTTTTCAAACTTTGAGAACATGCGGAAATTCTCAGGGGTTATGGCTTTGCTTCTACAAAGGACATTATTTTAAGAATATAATGGAAGTAATAAAAATAAGCCGATTTAAATGCGTCTCACTCAAGAAGATTCTATGAATTTCAAAGTACAATAAATTATAGGTCACATTTGTTATGGTCAATTATTTCATGTTCATGTGTTATACGCACTACAAATAGCATTTAGAAACAAACCATCCATCATTTCAAGCTTAAGAGCGTTTTTGCAAAACCTTCAACACTTATGTTGGAAGGTGTAGATGAATAATGATAAGTATGATAAAAACAGCTTGATAATAAATATAAATAGTCCTCAATATCATATTGAGAAGTTCAGTTTGATAAGGCTTATCCAACGCTCAAGCTATGTACTGGGTTTTAGTTTTGTTAGGAGCATTGATTGCTCCACTGAACTCTTATAAAACTGAAGATTTTAATGCTCAAGAATTTATTGCATCTCTAAAGAGCACCACAAGCGAAATTTTAGATCTGTTAGATGTTCCTGAAGATGCGTTTCTTAATATTGTAAGTTATTTATTTAATTTTTAAACTATATTTCAATTTTCAATTTCAATTTGATTCAACAGTCAATTGTACAGCCACTCCATAAATCAATCATATATTCAGTTCTTAGGCTAAGTAAATTATATGTTGCACCCAGGACACACAACCTGTATGTGCAAAGAATATGAAAAAAAACAGAGGCAAAAAGAAATAATACTATGTTTATATAAAGGAAGCAAAATTATTTATGATAAAAAGTTGAGAAATTTGAGCAAATTAAGATGTGACCTATAATTGTTGTATATAATTGGCTTACATTTTTTGGCGAACATGTTATAGTTTGATTTAGTTTTTATGCTATCTACTTTATATTGGTTTATAATGTTCGTTCTAGTCGCAATATTTGGAAAAACACGGCTATCCATTTGAATCTCATCATGTTCTAACTGATGATGGATATATAGTTACTCTGCACAGAATTCCTGCAATAACTAATGGGTTTGGAGAGAATATTGATAGAGTAAATCCTGCTGTACTGTTTGTACCTCCAATGTTGTGTTCATCTATTGATTGGGTCAGCCGTGGTGCTAATGAGTCGCTAGGTTTACTTTTGTCTGATTTAGGTAAGTATTAAAGCCACTTGATTATTTTTCTAAGCATATTATGCAAAATATTTGAAACACATGTTGTCTACAACACCAATGCCTATTTTCGTAGTGCCTTTCAAAAGCCTTTAAATGCATCATTCTCATAGTTCTGGGAAGAGAGCTTTCCAAAGCTTTCGAATAGCACGTCAAGGCAGTTGCGTTCAAATTTGATTTTATTGAGAAAAATCACGGAAACTAGTAACTAAAAGTCACAAAAAATATTTCCAATATATTAGTACCGTATTCTATATTTTGAGACAACATCAAACAATTCTAATAATGCTGGGATTGG